GCAGAAAGAGATGGTGTAAGTGAATCTTTAGAAAATACAGCATATAAAGCAAATACACAATCACTTGCTAATTTTTGGGATAAAGATGAGATATTATCAAAAGAACATGCAGGAATTATGGATCATTCAACTTTAAAGGCTTTTGTGGTTTGTGGTATCCCCTTTAGGATAGTTGAAGACCTTTTTTTCATCAACATGTTAAAAACTTCAGATCAAATTATAAACCTCCTTCATGAGATTGTCTTAGTACTAAATTATTATCAGATGAAACTGTTTGTGTGGATATAAAAATTAATAATATTTTAGAAAAGGCTAACAACTCGACATTGGGTATGAATGATTTTTATTTTATTAAAATTATTTGTTTGGTTGTAGTTTTTAGGAGTTTCAAAACAGTTTAGGAATTCAGGCTCATTTTTTTAAATCAGTTTAGAATGGTTTTAATTTCAAATAGTTCTAAACTCATGAGTTTCAGAAGGCAACTCTGCCTGTGATAATGCTGGTGGACAAAATAAAAATAATGTAACAATTTGATTTTATTTATATTTGGTAATTTGTGGTTATTACAAAGTATTGAATTAAATTTCATGGTCCAGAACATACCAAATTCAAATGTGATGGTAATTTTGGCATGATTAAAAATCTATAGAAAAACAAGAGTAGATTGTCTGGGTCATGTAGTTGAGGTGGTGAAAAGATCTAGTCCAGCAGGATTGAATAAAATTCAATGCTATGAAGGTGAAAAAGGTTTTCAATACTTAGATATCAAGTCTATTTTGGGAATTTATTTTAAGCTAAATGGCTTGCAAAGATATCAACATTTTCTTTTTGAAGCATCTAATCTTGGCACAATGAAAGTTCAAGAAGTTGCTAATGGATCTTTTGCTGATTTCAATTTATTGAAAACCAAGAAAGCAGAAATTCTTGAAGAGATTGAAGCTTTATCTATTTTAGTTTTAACACCACCTCCTTTGGATTATAAGAGGCAAGAATATCATAATATTCATCCATTTGTTAGAGATGAATTTAAAGATATTACTTGTCCAAGACCAATCTATACTGGCAATGAATAAAATATTTAGGATAAAATCACCTCTAATGACTTCATCACTTGTTAATTTATCCCTCACTGTCATTAAGTTTAATAAGTTTAATCTTTTGACAAATATTGTTGGCCTTTACTTAATGTACCCTTTTATAAAAAAGATATAAGTATATTAAATAAATAAATAAAAAAAAGAACAAGCAAGTAAATCATGAAAAACATAATAAATGAACAACAAGTAAATAAAGAACTATTAAACAAAATTGCTGATTTAGAAAAGCAGATAGAAGTTTCAAAGATTCTGGTCTTTCAGGGCCTGTAAATTGATCTGTTGGACACATTGGGATAAAGATATGAATGCTGCACATGATCATTTTTTTACATATGGACACTTACAATGGAGGGAAAGAAACCAGATCCATTTACAGTGTGTAACAGAAAAATAAAATTGAACACTGTTAAATAATTACTGCATTAATTCACATGAAAAAAGCAGAACTTTTATTGGATACACTTTAGTATAAAATAATTTCACCATGCTGTCATCTTGATTTTTTGATCAGATTAAATGAATTAGAAATAAATCAGGAATTAGGTCCCACTTTTCAATGATAAATCTTGAGGCTTTTAACTTCTGTTTCATTATTTGGTTGCAAAAGTTTTTAAAGAAATAAAAGAAGAATGAATGAATGAATTGTGAGATTTCAACAGTAATCTGTATCATTAACATACTCTATTACTTACTATAAGCCATATCACCTGTTTGCTTCAATTTATTAATATTGAAATGGAATTCAAGAATGGGATGCTTATAATTTGTGGGTGAATGTATCCCTTTATTCTAATAATATAATTGCAAAAAAAAAAAAACAATATTCAACTTTATTATACATTTTTCAATTAGGAATGAATGATTCAAAATCACATAAAAGGTAAATTTTTGTTTAAAATTATTTGTTTTTGTCACAGGAATCCTAAGATTATCCAAGTTACAAGCTTAGTCCTAATCAAGATAAGCATCCCTTATATACAGTGGTAACAGGACCCTGCAAACTTCATAGATAGGTAGGTCAGTAACAAAAATTCCTGTTTGTAATATGATTTGACCTAGACCAAAATTAAGTTTATATATAACTTGACCCTAAGGTTTGAAAATACATTAGAAAAAAGAACATAATTTGACCCATTAAAAATTTTGAAACTGTATACTGTAACAAAAACAATTTTACCAATCAATTGATTTAAGGGTAGGGGGAATCACGTGTTAATTTAATAGTAAATCATGGCTCAATTTTTTTTGCCTGCCGGGTACAATGTTGATCAATATTTTTATGAAATACTAATATACATTAAAATTTCCTATAATAAAAAATTAAAAAAAAATTATATATATATATTTATTTATTTATAAATAATAATCCCAAGTAGTGTTCCATGTCGCAATCCAAAAAAGGAAACAAAATGGTTGTAAAGGTGGTTGCAACCAGTGGTTGCAATCATTT